ATCAGGATCGCGATCTATTTACCACTGTTTTTATAAACCATCCCAACAGAGGCCACCTCAGCCCAACCACACTAGCTCTATACGTCTACCCCTCCTTAACCCCTACTCACAGTAAGCCACTCCACTCAGAGCATCCCACTTCACCATGGACCCCCCCCCCATCTCTCTACAGTAGGACTGAATGCTGTGTGTGCATACTGATTTGGACTCAAGAGTCTAGACGAAAATTATGCCAGGTATTTGATTGCTGGCAGGGGGAGAAGACAGCTGTGTATATATTAGGGTGAAAAAGCCAAAGCGTTTACCTTTTTGTCAAGTGCAGCAGTGTGTAGAAGGAGCACACACGCACACAGACACACACACACACACACACACACACACACACACACACACACACACACACACACACACACACACACAGCACTTAAGGTGTGAAATCCGGAGGCTTAAATGTGCACAGCTTATCTTTCTCTGCTTGTGGTTCACACTAAAGCTCAACACTGAGGTCCAGTTACATGGTAAGCTTTAAGTAGTGGTGTTTAGGCTAAGCTGCTGCAATTCTTCGTACCACCATCCACTTGACCAAAACTGAGTCTAAGATGGTAGAACCAGACCACAGGTCAATGCACTTCATCTACTTGTCAAGTTGTCTCTTGCTTGCATTTCTCTATACCTGCCTCTTTAAGTGCAACCTCAAAATCAGCCTCATTTATCGTGGTCAAGGTCACAGGTAGCAGCCATTATAAGTAATTCTCCACTGAGCCTCAGGCAAATGCTGTACACTTTGCAGAGTGACTTGCATCCCTGTGGAATAGCCTTCACAGTGCAGAGGCAGGGATGTGTGAAAGCGAATATGTGTGTGCGCATGTGAGTCTCCCAAAAGCACAAATGGCTCTCCCGATAACTAATACCTGCTGCAGAGCAAGAAGTAATAGGGCCAGAGTGAAGGGACACAGAACATTCATCACCAGGACTATTTGCAGCTAAGTTTCTGCTCTGTGCTCAAATCAATCCTAATGTAGCTAATCAATTATTGTTCTGAAGGCTTAAAGGTGGACAAGGAATCGGGACAAATTAATATCATGGACCAGAATACAAATTATCCCCCATTTTATAGCTAACAAAATAATGGCCTTGGCTGATTCTCTTTGATATCCATATGACATGAAAATCATTCTTGATGCCTCATCATTAATAAACACAGCCATGACAACCTCATTATAGGCAATCGATATTCTTCGCTGAGATAAAAACAGCTGGCTGGCAAGCGGCTGATGTTTGGGGGGGGGGCGGGGGGCTGGATAACACCAGGCCAGTGTGGGAAGATATGATGATGGAGAATTACCAACATTAATCACTTTAGCCAAGGAGATTATCCAGTCTTGCTTAATTAGAAATCTCCCACAGGGCAAAGAGAGGAGAGAGCAGGGCGAGATGGGATATACTGTACGCAGGTGCCCGGCACAGCTTCGCTCAGCAGTTAAGTTGGAAAAGGTCACGCTCACAATTTCAAACTGAATCTGAGAACACGCCTTACCTCAAGGCAGATGGTTACTGAGAACCCTGCACATAATGAGTATAATACAAAGGGGCCGAGCAATTTTATGAAAGAGCTGTCAGAGGCTCAAATTAGTGAAAGGTTTCTTTAGATCACCAAAGTGGAGCTATATAGTGTTAATTTGGGTTGCCTCTCTTATTTTCAATTCATTCAACTTAACAACCTGGAATATTCACAGCAGGAAAGAAGAGGCAAGACATATACAAAACAGGAAGACTCTCAAAAAGCTAGAAGAGATCCCACAGTTGGGGAAGCGATCCAGCAATTAGAGCAACATTAGCATTAATTTGGAGCCTGTTCACCTGGCAAATCTAAATTGGATATTCACTCTCTTCTAGCTCTGTTTCTGGTCTCTACCAGCTGCTGGGGGAAATACCTGGCTCTTTGGGAGCTAAAAGCTTCACTATGTTCACAAAGATGTACTCAAAAATACTTGAAGTAGCTATTATCAACCTGTCGTACTACTGTAGTGTTATGGATTAAGGCAACAACTGCTAAACAACTACATTTGCTCCATTCTTATTGGAACACACAACTCTCTGTCAACATCAGCAAACAAACAATTCCCCATTTCCCCCAAAACAATGGCTGCTTGACGGAGAGAAGAACCAACGCTGCCTCTGTCATCAGCAGAAAGATAATAGGGCCACACTGACAGTCTGCTCCGAAGGGATAATCTTCTGCAGGTGCCATCATTCTGCATTAAGCACAAAGGAAGGACATAGACAGGTACTTTCCAGGCAAACAGAGCCAAATATAGCTCCCACTTCCAGTAAGGAAAAAACACAACACAACGAGGTCTGGCCTCAGTGCAGGCCACACACACACACACACACACACACACACACACACACACACACACACACACACACACACACACACACACACACACACACACACACACACACACACACGAGTCATTTTGGGAATGTGCACCATTCACAACGGCTTTTGAAAAGGATCATCTCACTACGTCTTTTCCAGTGAAATGTGTTGTGGTTTAAGATGAACCTTTTTTTTCCCCCAGTATTGATTATCCTGCTGATTATTTTCTCAGTTATTTAATTCATCATTTAATTATCTATGAAGAATAGTCAAGTCAATAAAGCTCATTTAGACAGCTAACATAATCTATTATCACATAATTAGTTACTTGATTAAGTTGTTTAAGAAAAAACAACATATTTATGGTTCCAGCATCTCCAACTGAATGTTTTGAGTTTAGTTGGACAAAACTCGATATATGGATCCATCACCTTGGGCATGAGCAAATATTAACCAATATTTTTCAGTATTTTCTGAAATTATGCTAAAATTTTTCATTGATTACTAGAGAAAGTTGGCAAATTAACAGACAACTTTTTTTCCAAGTTAACTAGTGCTGAAATTATTATTTTATGTTTTTTTCCTGTTCTTATATTCAAGTAAATAAAGTACCTTTGGGGTTTTCACTGTTTTTATGACATTCTATTGAGAAAAATGAAAAAAAATCATTGGTCAAAGCCTCAAAATTAACCGCAATGTTGTCAAACTGTTTTACTTAACCTCATATAGGGATGGAAACTGGGCCACAACATCATTATTTGTTGCTTAAACCACAGGCCTCAGGTCAGTGCTGAGGAGCCAACAGGATGCAGCTGTAACACTCAGCTGACCAAATGTGGTTGCACCCTATATGAACCTTTGCCACAATGAATAGATTATATCTACAGTGAGAAGCTTTAAATTAGACAGTGTAAACTGATGAACATGCGTATCAACATGATGACACAAAGACATGACTCTATAGCCTCAAGTGTCAAAATAAGCCAAAAACTATTTGTGTGAAAGTGAAACACACACTAACTCAAAAGGGACATCAGAAATTCCTAGAAGGCAGCTGCACAGCGATCAGTGTATAGGTCAGGGCAGTTTACGTCTGAGCCAGGCAACAGGGACCAGCCCCAGCCAGGAACCATGCCTGCCTGGCTGCAACGCTACCCAAGTGATTTACACAGACTGAACTAGACAGTGGAGGATATTTTACAGCACTGGAGAACAACTCTCTCCCGACAGCCAGCTCTCTCCCTGGCACGGCAAATCTACAGAGAGAGGATAAATCTTAGGAGGGGGGCTGAATACATGATGGAGGCAAGAAAGGAGCTGAGAGGGAAGGGGAGGGGTGATAACACTGTGAGTAACACATTTATCCTTGCGATAAAAAAAAGAAAAAAAGAAAGAGGAGCACGAGCAAGAGCGGTAGTCACTCATTAATCTAAGAGATGAGGGGGAAAATGCAGGCCCATAAGTCACTCCTGTTGGCTGGTAAAAAAGAAAAAAAAAAGACACTTTTGCTCAATCTTGTTCCTTGACTGGTCACAGCACTGATCTCAATTTCAAGGTGAAAATAAAAGCAATCTGTGTAGAGTACCAACATTTTTGATAGTGTGTGTGTGTGTGTGTGTGTGTGTGTGTGTGTGTGTGTGTGTGTGTTATTAATATGTACACTTGAATTACCAGTTTCTTATAATTAATACCTAGATTGCCCTGTACAAAATCAGTCATGCAGCTTCTAAGGAGACACATTTAGCATCTACCAAAACAAAAATAAACCTCAAAAGTTCATTCAAAAGGGTAGATGAACACCATCTGCAATACTGTAGTCAGACACTGTCACTTCACTTACACTGGGTGATAATGGATCAGCAAGCCTTAAAATGAAGAAAAGAGCCATTAAGCCAACATTTAGTTGCACTATGGGCGATTTGCATAAATGTATCAAATAAAAGCTGCAGTCACGCAGCAAGGAAAAGAGAGGACAGGATAGAAAGGTGAAGATAAAGCTACAGGCAAATCTCTATCAGAGAAGGCGACAGTTACATTAAGTTGTAAAGCAATCCCTGGGGTTCAGAGCGAGGTTAAGAGAAGGGGACACACTGAGGACGTCTGGAAGGCCACGTAACTGAATAAGGGAACAAAAGAGTGGGCAGAGACAGGGTGGTAGGGAGGATGGGAAAGAAGATGGCGGTCTGTCTGTGATACAGTCAAATAATGCCAACACCACAGCTCATCTGCGCCGGGTACAATAACATGATGCTAAAACCCTGTGTCGACCTTGACCAATGCGAATGCTCCCCCGTTTTGATCCACCTGGGAGCTGAACTGCTGATATGCTGGCATAAGTAGCCATTTCCTCTGGGGATGGCAGAGAAGCATTACTAGACATAAACTTAAACCACATTAAAATGCCAAGGAAAAAAGTTTGTGGGACCATGGGGGAATAATCGCAGCGATACAGACTCACTGTTGCAGCAAATTTGTAGCAATTTCTGGTGACCTTGGTGTTTATTATTCTTGTTAGGAATTAAACCAAGAAACTTCTACCCTTTTCTTACTGTAAGCAAGCACAGAACATTAAGACATGAAATAACACTGGAAAAAAAAAAAAACTTAAAACACCTACCTTTGAGCTGATCAGCCACCACACTCTGTCCTATTCTCTCAGTGACCTGTCCGTCTTCATGCTGGTAGCGGTCATCCAGGAAGTTAGCTGTGGCCTGTGATAAGTGGACCTTCCCAGCCACTCCCAGTTGTTCCATTAGGTTGGCCAGGTTGACGTCATTTGACCAAACATCAAACTTGAAGCGTTTCATGCCCAGGATGCCACACAGCACAGTACCAGTGTGGACACCCACCCTCATGTTCACCATCTCCCTCTTCTCCTGGCAAAACTGTTCAATAGCTTGGATCATGCCCAGGCCCATCTCCACACAGCAATAGGCATGGTCTGGTCTAGGTTCAGGACAACCAGCCACGCAGTAGTAACAGTCTCCTAGAGTACTGATCTTTTCACAGCCGGTGAGCTCGCACAGTCTATCGAAACGTCCAAACAAGTCATTCAGAAGCCCCACGAGGGCATGAGCAGATTTGTTGGCAGACATCTTTGTGAAGCCCACGATGTCTGCAAAGAGGATGCTGACGGGCTCCATCCGTTTCATGTTGAAGGGTCTGAAAATTATCTGGCCTCGAGGGATGGAGGTTTTCTTGCGTTTATGGTTTTTAGGGCTGGAGATGGCGGCCGCTGCACCACTGGTGGAGTATCGTTTAACAGAATTATCACCAATCTCCTCGTCACCCTGCTTCATCAGTTCATCGGCCACGATTCTGGGCATGACAGAGTGGATCATTCGCTCCTTCAAGGCTTTCTCCACCTCCAGATCTTTGCCATGCATTATAGCTTGTCCCACCTTAAGGAAGGTGCTGCGTGACCGCACCTCTGACATGATGAACAGATGAATGCCGATGGCGTGGGCGCAGAGGTGGAGCAAGGCTTTGCCTGGGCCCAGCCAACTTAGTGTATCCCAGTCTGATTGCGAGGCTATACTCCAGCTCTCCCCTGAGTGGGTCAGGTGCAGCCAGCCCAAACTCTCAAAAAAGACAGAGTAGAGAAACCCGAGCAAGACAGAAGCATAGAGTCGAACATGGAGAACACTGTACAGCAACAGAAGAACCTCGATACAGAGGGAGAAGGTGCCTACAGGCGAAAGACAGGGGGACCAGGTGCTACCTCCCACAAGCTTGTCATAAGACAGGTTGTATATGGGCCCCATGCCACTAAACTCTTCCACATCGAGTGTAGGTGTGGGAGATTCTGGTTCCCTGAAGCCTGATGTCTGGATCTGGGGGGCCAGGGTGAGGATGAAGGTTACAACAATGAGCAGCAGAGATGCTTGATTGTAGCAGCGAGAGTAGAGCTTAGTAAAGGTTAAGAGGAAGAGGAGGAGGCAGAAAATGAGGAAGGATGCGGTGGGAAGGAGAAAGGCAGTCCTATCACAGCGGGAAGGGTTGGTAGCAAAGTACAATCCCCAGAGGAGGCCAGCGGCAACCAGGTAAAAGAGCACATAGCGGAAACGCCGCTGGGTCTGAGGGAAACATCGCTCTCTGCAGGCCTCCTCCAAGATTGAAGAGTCAAACTTTGGGTCCCAGAAATGACCTGCAGATCTCTCAAAAAGCTGAGGCATCTTCTTCTGTGTGCGAAAGCTCCTGACTGTTGTCTTCCTGACTCCGGACTCCCCGGAGCTGCAGCTTGAGGAGATGCTGTACTTGCAGTGCTTGGATCCCCCAATGAAGCCTCCCCCGATTGAACCAAGCGGCCCGCCTCCATGCTTGTGTTTGACACTGCTGCCAATCCTCACTGAGACGCCTCCGTCTCCACTTGAGTCACAGCTCACTTCTGTGTTGTGAGGCAGCAGTTGTTGATGTTGGGGCGATGCCATGTCGCTTTTGAATCTATCCAAAAATCAAAAACTATGCAGAAGGTACTGTCAATTCAAACATAGATGAAACAGTAAGGCAAAGTATGGGGCCACAGTATAACAGCCAGGGTAATGGTGGTTCAATCTTAAATGTGAAAAAAAAAGAGAGCACACAAAAGGCTGTTCAGAGAAAACTCCTCTCGGTTAGCAGTGTAGTGGCAGTAGAAACACCAGCAGACCTTCCAAAGATTTTGAGTAGTTCATTATTGCCACCCTTGACGTCAGTCCCTGCATTCCTCTACGTTCCCGTCTGTTTTGACGCACTTGAGACTGCAAGGTTCACTCGCTGCCTGCTTTGTTCCAGTCCTCTCAGCTGCCTGCACACTGTCTCACTCATTGGAAAAATATTTAGGAAAAGTCAGGATTACAAAATACTGTGCATGACGGGGAAAAGTTGAAACAGAAGAACCAGAAAGGTCAAGAAATGAGTTTAATGGGGCTCTAGGGAAGTTGTGATCACTATGAGGAGGTAAAATCCAGTTGAACTGTATAACTGAATGATTTCTTGGAGGGTAGCCAGTGCACTTTCATTAATGGTGCATGTCCATTATCACTTATCCATTTAGTTTTCCGTGCAACTCGGGTCCACCGGGAATGCAGAGTGATGTTTACAGGACAGGGGGGAAAAAAACTTCATTCAAAACAAATCCTCTGCAGCGTTTGCTTTCGTATCTCTGACAACAAGTGGCAAGATATGACTCTGCTGTTTGTCGTGTTGTTCGAAAAAGGTCAGCTTTTCATTTCAAGGCGCAGGTCAGATCCAGATAGCCTAACAGGAACATGAGCGCAAAAACTGCCACCGAATACCCACATGCCCCGTGTTGCAGGGCCTAATCCCAACAGTTCCCGTGGACGCAGCCCCGTCCTTTCCTGACTTTCCACTCCGGAGTCTCCGCCGCCGCTGCGTCTCCAAAAGCAGAGAGGATCTTGTGCAGGAGGTCTGCAGGAGACACATGCATGAGAGGCGGTGCGCAGAACACACACTAAACTGTTTTTATCGAGCTTAGCTGTCAGTGACTCGTGTGTAAACACGCTCCTCCAAGGCTATGCGCCAACCAGTTTAGGCTCAGTGTTGCACCGGTATTACCTTGGTATCCACTCACACACCGAATGTCGCCAATTCATCGTCACAGTGCGCCCCAAGAGAATATCCAGATGTCCTGACCGTGCCGGGTTCTTCTGGCTCTGAGCTATATTCTGTCAATCGGACAGTTGATGGGGGGCGGGAGGGGGGCAATTTAAATAAAGCCTTGAGCACACTACATGGAGTAGCCTCTCGTCCAGTCCTTCCTCCTCTCTGAAGTAAAGTTTGCCCACGGCAGCTTGGTCCCCCTCTAAAAGGCAGATGACGAAAACCCAAAGAGAGTCGACTAATTAAAAGGTCTCCACCTCCGCTCCACGCCCCCACCTCCCACACACACACACACACACACACACACAAACACACACACACACACACACACACACACACACACACACACACACACACACACACACACACACACCACAGTCCCACAGGTCAAAGCAGAGTGCTGTCTTGATCCAGCCACTTTAATTGAATTACATGTGATGCACAAGAGAATACCTTCATACCTCCAAATAACTGCCCTTTAATCCAAGGCAAATATGATGGAATAGGGCTGCTGCATTGTCCAGCCTCTCCATTCCCTGCAACCTCCACAGTGAGCTGAGATTGTCTTATCTCCGTTTCCTGACCATTCTCTGTGCGCCGCGGCAGCGTCGACACCCGCATGAAACGCTGTGTGCGCTTATCCAGGCGCGGTGGGCAACACAGTGGCCGCAGCCGCCACCATCTTCTGTGCGCTGACAGCCGTCCAGCCGAGAGATGCCCGCTTGTGTGTGTGTGTGTGTGTGTGTGTGTGTGTGTGTGTGTGTGTGTGTGTGTGTGTGTGTGTGTGTGTGTGCGTGTGCTAGTGTGTGAAGTAATCTAGAATGATATTAAAGTCATTTCCGCCATATCTTTCAAAATAAAACCCTATGAATCCATAATAGCCTACAGCTATGCAATGTTTCTACAAGGTGTGTTACCACTGAGGCAACATTGAATTAAAACTATGGCACTCATGATCCTTTAGCTACGTATTGCTAGTCTATATTTCTGCTACCTACATACAAAGGACTCTCATGTAGGCTGCTAATCATTCTTACATTTGGTTCTTTCTTTTTGATGATTACATGGTCAGGCTGAACACCTGACCCTCAAAGATACTGGCTAAACGCTACAAGTAGTTTGGCATCTTTTTGAAGTAGTCTACAAGAAATGTTCGAAGAGAAGTTCGAATGTTTGAAGAAAAATATTACATGTCCTGCACAAGAGCAGTGGCACAGCTCCGTAATAAGGCTACAGATTGTAAGGTGCATCCAATGGAGTAGACATTTGTATTCTAAACGACATTAACTTTCCCTATACTGCATTAGTTCTTAAATGCTTCAAAATTTGAGCTTCAATGAAAAACAAACTTTTCAGGGTGGTTTATTTTGAAAAGAAATAGTAGTTGTTTCCGGCTTGGTGGTCGTGCAATTGTCTGTGTTTGGCGAGCAGAGAAGGGAGGGGAAGGGCTGACTACTGACGGGAGGGGAGGGTAACTGTGGAGGTACGTGCGGCGCACACACACTTGGGAGAGAGAAAAAGACTCTAGGTATCGAGCACGTATTTCAGGGAAGGGTGGGGACGTACTTTCTCTTTTTTTTTGTTTGACCGCAACGAGTGCACCCCGTCCTCCAGACAACGCTGAAGCCCCATCAACCTTTTTGTCTTTTTCACCAGTGCAACCTTTGGATTCAGAATAAAGTCTGCTTCATGTAAACATCTGCTCTGGACTGAGCAGAAGAAAAACGAAAAGTCATTGAAGGAAAATGGAATAGCCTATAATAACATTAGACAAAATAACCCCAAATAGAAGGCAACTAACCTGCTCTAGATGCTCACTATAAATGTAGCTAATAGAAATGTTGGATGATAGGTTATTATGAGGGATTGAAATATTCAATTAATTAAGACAACACTTAGGCACTTAGGTAGACTAGATTCAGTTTTGCACACTTTAATATTTCAGCACATTCAAGATTATTACAAACAGTGACCTTTCAGAAATAATAAACCCAATATGTGCAGCATATTTGAATAAAGAACCTCCAGCTCTAATGCTTAAGTCTTTATTCTCAGTAACCTGAGAGAAATATTAAACAGTAGCCCTGTAGTCAGCACTGAGGCTTCACCTTGAACAGTGTATTGTAAGAGGATCCCTGGGAGGGACTGTGCACGCCCTCTTGCAATCCACCTGCATTTAAGGGACGACAAAAGCATGTCCTTTATGAGAGGAATGAAAAGACTTCCTCCACATTTACACATCAGTGTGTGATTTATGTATATAATGTTGACTTTTAGGTCCAGTCAGCATTATAATAGAACTTGTTTGCATTGGATAGAAAATGAGGAAGACATTAGAAGTCTCAGAGCACAAGATTTACTACAGGTAAAAAAAACTTAAAAAAGAGGGATTCACTTTGAGTAAGCCACAATACCACATTTAATGTGTGCATGTTCCAGTGTGTGTGTGGATGTGCCCTGCACATATGCTACATGCTTATGAGCTGTGTATTTATTGATGCAAATGTGTTTAAAATCTCTAAAATGGTCTGTTGCAAATATCTGATCTTCACAATAAAAATGCATTTATTTATCAATTAAATTTGCATTTTTTTTTCATCAATCACAGATTTTTGGTAAAAGTTTAGTGTTTAAAAGAACCACTATTGAACCACTGACTGCCGCATAAAAAGGCTGCTTTAATGTTTGAGTACTTATCATGAACTTTAAATTGTATTTTACATTTGATAGTTAGTCTCTTCAGAATCTTTGTAAAATAATGTTGAGGAATCAGGAAATGTTCAAATGCACTCACAGAGAGACACACGTCAGGCCTGTGTTTATAGAAGAATCTTTGTGCACAGTTATCAAAACTATCACTGATTTCCAACATATACACAATCAAACACATACTCACACACACCCCTCTCCACTTCCAGCCACAACAAACTGTTGGTGCAATGCAGCTACAGGACAAAACATCCTTTCAAAACTAAAAGTGAGAGACTGGACCTTCAGAGTGCTCAGACTCTTGACAAGAGTCTGAGAAGGTAGGCTGAGAATCTTGATAGTTTTAACCCTCTGTTTTAACCCTCTGTTTTCTTCCTGATTAACGTTTGATCATTTTATCAGAATAACCACAAAGTTTCACTCACTAGTCAATCAGAAATCTTTATTCTTCATGATCAAGCTTCCAAAAATTGGGCCAATATTAATTTAAAATTTATACCAAAACAAAAAAAAAGTGAACCAACAACTACTTTAATGGGACACACATCCATTCCAGATCTAATTCACAGGTAAATTAAGATAATTGATACTGAAATATACCAAAAGTACAACCACACAACGTCATTAGCTCAAGCTATCACCTCACTACAGACTGTTGCTACCATGAGTTTTAGTTAGTGGTCTGTATAACTTTTTACACTTTTACACAGCACTCTCTAGTGGGCATGTTCTGGATCTGCAGTGTAAACATACCAAACACATCCTGTGGAAAACACACATTCAGTTTCATCAGGCTTTTGTCATCAGTTAGTTTTCTTTCCTGTTCCATTATGCTTCAGATTTTAGTTGGGGAAAACACTATGGAGTTAGTGAGGGAGGACAAAGAGAGAACTGGAAGTGCATTTGCCCATGAGTTAACTTGGTATATGTTTGAGTTGTAGTTATTACTACCTACCTGTTCTTTGAAGATTTAGGACCCTGCATTTTAAGCATTAGTTTGATATTTTGGTTGATTGATACCACTTTCATAGAGTTCTCTGAATGTGTAGCTGGAGCCAGCAGCTGTTTAGCTTAGCTTAGCATAAAGTCTGAAAAAGGGGAAACAGTTACACATCATGTTTTATTTGCTTAAACCATACAAAAACTGCAGTGTAAAAGAGGCACGGTGCAGTTTTCGAAGGGGTCATGTGCCTGACTATTTCTTGGCCCGGCATAGAAACTTACTCTTCAGGTTGCCTAGCAACCTCATGATAACAACAAGACTCCAAAAAGTTACTGCACCCGGCTTAAAAATAGTGTCGAATAAGCATGCTCCCCAAAATGTCAAACTATTTTAAGCAATTTCGCCATGCCATACTCCTGGTAGGTTCACTGAGGTAGGCTTACATAAGGAATTGCAGATTTGACATGTATAACTCCAAACCATTGTGGGTGTAGGGGCTTTCCACAGAGGTCAGGGGTCAACTCATGAGTCCTCCACTTCACCTTTTCCTCTCTGTCACCTCCACCCCGCTTTTTGCAAGCTGAGAAATCCAAAGGTTTGTCTAATTTTGCAGCAGGATTGCTCAGTACACAGACACAGCTTACTTCAATGCCCATTTGGAAAGTTTACACAGAAAAAAATCAATAAATATCTTTCTAACCTGGAAAAGAGCTGGCAGAACAACTGGATAAAGACAGCTATAATTCAAACACATTCTCATGTGTCATTTTTTATGGTCATTCAGCTGAAAAAGCTGGGAAGCTTATCGTTGAAGGAACAAAATTATTCATAACATAGTACTGAATTTCTGCCAAAGACTGGCAAATTTATAGACGCAAACATTAAACAGCAAGAACAGTTAAGAAGTGAAGCAGAAAGAACATATCCACCCTGCTCTGAAGACTCTGACCCGTGAACCCTGACCTCTGCTTCCATCGCAGTGCTCATTTCACAGGTTGTCAACAACCAAGACTGATGAGCATCTAAAACTATGAAAAAAAGGCCTTATTTGTTGCATGGCAGGGCTGGTTCAGGTGTCAGTATCATGAGGAACTATTACTTAAATTTGTTAGAAGGAAAATACATGCATCTGTTAAATAAGATGTGACGTCTAACATGCAATGTTAATGTTAATCTATGTCAAAAGCTTGGAGGACCACCCAAACTCAAAGGCTTTGTATAGCACCCACAAAAATGCTACTTCAAAAAACTTCTGAAGCATATGGAATTGACCTGTTGCAATGCAATTCTCAAGATTTTACAAAACAAATTCGCAACTCCTATTTCCACTTTTCCCATTTTATTCACATACAAGGGAGCTGGTATTTGACTGTTTTCAGTCTCAGGATTTTCAATTTTTATTTGATATTACTTTTTTTTCCATTTCTGTTTTTCTTTACATGGTTATTTCCTTAAACCCAGAAATCCCACACAGTCCACTGTGATTGTGCAAGGGAGAGAGGAGGGTGTGTATTTTAACAAACTCTGTGATTAGTGGCATGTTCTCATTTCTTCAGCACTTGTGTCCTTAAGCTGCCTAATCAAACAATTACTCTTCCCTCCCACTATCTGCCTCATTTCCACAGTTCCTAAATGCACCTCCCCCCATATTCTCCTGAGGAAAAAAACAAACAAACACTAATCTCCTCTCCTCTGTCTCCTTAACAATACAGGCATTCTGAAAAAAGCAGGGTTGGCATCTACCAGACCCCTTTCTCTTCACCCCCTCTTTCTCCTTACTTCCCCCACTCAAGTTATTTTGTGTTCCTCAGTTCTTCCGGTAGCGATTCTTTGGCTTCTCACCACAGCCGGTAGCCTCGCAGGAGGACAGGCCAGGCTGTTTGCCAGAGTTAATGCTGCTCAGAAGAGCGGGCAGCTCATTGGTGATTGCCTTCTCAATCTTCTCCAGCAGACAGCCTCCCATGTAGGAGCACTGACCCGACAGGGGCTTGAAATTGGTGATCGGGTTGATGCCAAAGAAGTCACGGTAAGCATCACGGTTGGGCAGGTCAAACTTGCTGACATTGGTCTTGGCTAGGATTGATTTAAAAATGTAGAACTTGTCTGGGTCGTCCACAATCTCCTTGAAGACTAGCTCAGGATCGCTGAAGAAGCTCATCTTCTCTTTAAAGGTCTGGACGTAGCGGTCCACCAGCAGGCCGTGGATGCGCACACGGATGCCATGCTGGCGGATGAAGGCAATCTTGTTCTCCATGCGGTTTTCAATCACCTGGTTCAGATCTTCCAGAAGGGAGATTTCCTCTCGCTTGAAGAGCTCACGACTGGTGTCAGGTGCGTAGTCATATGGCCAGAAGGAGCTGACGTAGACACGGGGGGGTTCAGTCACATTGATGAGGGGAGCCAAGCTCCAAAAGAGTGCTCCATAGACTCTCATCAAGTCCTGGGTGGCCAGGTTGTCAGCCTTGTTTAGGATGATGCGGATCTGGGACTCGCGACCCTTCAACTGCCGGAAGAGCATCTCCAGCTCCAGGCCAACGTCCAGCTTGGTGGGGTCGAACACCACGAAGATCAGGTCAGCGCGGTCAATGAACCACTGGCAAACATCATTGAAAGGATAGCCTGGGCAGAAGAAGAGAAATAACTGTTACCACTAAATACTGAGTTGTACCCAGCTGCTTTGTATTTGAATTGTGATATGTGGAAATCTGCAAACTGAAGGTCAACATTTCTGCTTCACCTCTCTCCTGCTGCTTGCGGTTCTCAATGATTCCTGGTGTGTCCACAAAGGTCACACGCTCCAGCAGCTTGTGGGGCATCTCAATACCGATCAGCTTTTCCAGGAAGTTTTGTCCAAACTTCTCCAGGGGCGAGAAAGAACGAGAGCTGTCTGCTGCCATTACAATACCTTCAACGGAGCGGATCTTCTCCCCATGCATAATAACAGTGAACTCAGAGGTAGTAGGCTCAGCTCCTGAAAGCAAATGAAGGGAGAAACAGAGGGAGACGTGAGCAAGAGCATGAGTAGCAGGAGAAACAGACTGGGATTTAGCAAAGGTCAGAAATCACTGTTTAGCCTTCATAAAATGTCATGGATCTAATTCAGCAAAATTTCTGTGAAGGTATCTGCCCATCTGCCCACAATCACATCCTTGCACTTACACACACACACACTACACTACAGCTTTTAGATAAGGCAGCTGCTTCTCGAATAGTTCTGTAGATTTATGATGGCATTTTAAGGTTGCTTCATCCTTACTGGATTTTTTTTTTAAATGGATGTAACATACCTGTGTAGAGCTGATAGGGGCTGTCGTTCAAGCCCAGGAGGTAATTGATCATGGAGGACTTGCCAACACTCCAGGGTCCCAGGAAGAGCACCATGGGTTTGGAGGTAATCTCCCCATCTGTTTGGCAAACACAGACAGACAGTGATTAAAATCTCAGGAGGTGGGCTAAATGATGACGAAGAACCTCTCAAGTTCATCCCAAATTTTTTAAATTATTTTTTAATTACGAAAACGATGCTGAGATTTGTATTTGTTGCAAATAAGAAAATGTGTGAGATCTTTGAGTTGTTCTTTTGTTGACCCATGTTTGGTACAGTCTCCGTTTCCTTTTGTGCCTCAGGAAGGGATAGTTTAACCAAAACACTGATCCATCCAAAATGTATCCTGGGGTTGTTTTTGGGATGAACTATACTTCAAGTCTCAGAGACACCAAGAAGCATGTGAGAATAGCACTGTCACTCTTAATCCAGAGCACAGAGGAAGATTTTGAAGACTTAGAAAGGAAATTAAAAACAGATAGACAAAGAAACACATTGAAGCTGTTAGGCTTGTTTATTGGCATAAGGAAAATTTCTATGAAATGCTGCAGCCATATCTCCACTCATATTGGCACGCGACAAAGTAGTGACTCAACAGAGCAAACTGTGTGTCTCATAGCAAGCTGCAGTGTGTGTTGTGAGTGGACATGGTGTCAGGGTGGGAGGGAGCAGCAAAGTTCTGTTAGAGACCTACTGGTGCAAATCTGAATGAATTCAACAAAAGATGAGGATAAAAATATCCACAAAAAAGAGGAAGACAAAAAAAGAGAAAAGAAAACAAAGTATTTCAAAGAAAATAATCACTCCTGATGATTGTGGCTCTTAAATTAAAAGAACAAAGTGTGACAGAAAGCTAATCAATTCACTCCCAGCTGCACTGACCACCCTTTTCCACCAGTGCACCCTTCTCAAGTGTCCTAAAGCCAGAACTGCACATGCAACCCCATCCATATATGACATTTTACAGCCCAACTACACAACTTAATGAGCAGTACTTTCTGTAAATACTGTATGTAGCGTGCTAGCTAAACACTGCCAAGCTGAAAGTCTATTATGTTTCCCCACAATTTTTTTCTTAAATTTACATTTCTTCCCTTTTCATTCTTTAAAATGGATGAATTGAAATGAATTTTGGAGTTTTGGCTGAAATTTTGAATTATGAATGAAATTGAGAAAGAGTGAATTAATTTTGATCCATATTAGGTATAAAACTGCTGCTCTCTGTGCATCACTGTGGATCACTTTGATCACCCCCCCTCCCCCCAGTCAGTGTTACATTGGATGTAACACTGACCCAGGTGTTGAAATTTCTGACCCACAGAGAGCTGTGCAGTATTTATACTGCCTCAAGTGACTTACAAATGTATGAGGAGAAATGAAGGGGGGTGGGAAAGGAAGGGGCTGAGCACTTCAGGCAGTGCCATGCACAAGTAAGCCCCGGACCACACCCACCTGTGGCAGAGTCCCCCAGGGTTCGTCCGGGGTAGGCTGTTAGATAAGGGGATGGGGTTGGGGGAGGACAGGACAGGGAGGGTGGAGTACAGAAAAGTGAAGGGAACAGGAGGTGGAGGAGAGTGAGGAGAGCTCAGTGAGGGAGTGAGGTTTCTACAAGCAACAGGGAAGCGGTAGAACAACAATGTGCACGGATGGGTGGGAGATGGTCACTGGATTCTATCGTCCCATATTTGACCTAATGTGTCAAACATGTCCGTCTGAAAATGGATGGTGTGTCTGTGCAGTCAAGCGATGAGGTGAATCGTTTTTGTCTGTATAGTGTTTGACACAAGTGGTATTTGACAAGTTTGCATGCATGCTAAGCCTGAAAATCCACAAGAGGGCGAGCTTTATTTCATTTATTTCATTGTGGGGAAGAAGAGTCTGTTACTGCAAATTCAGTGTGCAGCTTAAAGTGTTGAGCTTAGTGTGAAGAAACAGCACATTGTGCAGAATCTTTTAAAAATCAAACAGGGAAATTACAAATGTGTAAGGAATAGAAGAAAAGGGGAAGAAATATTTAGGTAAGGAGCATTAATGGAGTGATTTAGACAATAGTACACCTTTCCCCTGGGGCAACAATAGCCTGCCATGTTTTAACAGCTGATTTCTGTGAAGGTTGGGCTGTAAACTGAAGAGGATATGATTGTTTCTTTACAGTTTTTGTGCTTTACAGCCCAACATACAAAGAAAAATAAAACCCAAAAGCCCCAAGTGGTGAAAAAGTAAGAGAAGACACTACTGCACTATATATAGCCTACTGATAGTGTGAAGATGATATGTGTGTACAAATAAGTCAACAAATCAGTCACCAAAGCAACAAAAACAGAGAACCGACACAACAGAACAAAGTGCAGGCACAGCTGAAGCCTTTGTGGTACCTGAGATCTCGTGCTGCCTCAGCTCATTGTACTTGTAGGCCTGCTCCATCGGCTTGATGGATGTGTGGTAGATCTTCCGCAACCTCTGTATAGCCGCTGGAGGACAAGATAAAGACGAGAGGAAAGGATGATGAAGATGTTGCAAAGATGTTTAAAAAGAGGCACTGAGGGACATTTTGATAGGCCAGATGGAGATGAAGTGAAATGAAAGATTTTGCAGCAGTCTAGTTCCCAGCCTTTTTGCCTTGTGACATTTTTCACTTATTAATCTTTCACCATCACTTCCTCCCTCTGATGTGTTAAGACATTTGCAAGTTAAGAGGAAATCAGTGAAAAGAAATCAAAGGAAATGACTGTGTTTTATTGAGCTATCTTCAATCTGTAAAATGCAGTTCAAGCACAAAGCTCTACAAAAAAACCACATCTGTTGAATTATCTTTGATCCTCACCTGCATAGTCTGCTGCTTTTTCCTCAGCTGCAAGTCGGAACGTCTCGTCGATGTGAGATCTGTCTCTGAGGACAGAGATGATATCTTCTTCTTCTGTAAAAACAACATTAACAAAATTCAGCGTATGTTTTTAATGGTCTGTTGAAGGAGTAATGGAAGTGGACCCAGGTGGCCAGATTTGGTGCAAACCAATCCACAGTGACAGTTTCATCATGAAGCCCACGCTGGGGCTGCTGATGGCCCATCATACCTTTTCAACAAAGATTTGCTACTGAGGCCAATGATGCTGCTATTTCCGGATGCACATCAATCACTGCATCCTGTGTGTCAATGTGTATCGCCACTGCTGGGAATTTAAATGTGACGCACAAATAACTGATAATAACAGCTGGACAACAGTTTTGCATTGGATGCCATTATCAGTTTCACACGTGGCAGATATTTGAGTTGTTTCGTGATCAAATGCTTGCAAACTGAGCCCAATTTCATATGTAACCCTTCTTACACCAATTGCCTCTTCTACCTTGTCTTTTCTGCTGTCTTCACTTCCACCTATCTCTCACTTACTGTTACCTTTGTAAATAAAAAAACGTTTACAGTATTAACTGCATGATAGGCTCATCATCCCCTCAATCATTTTCACTCCAGCCTGAGATCTTTACTTTCAAGCACTGAACATGATAACACTATCTTCACCTTGTGTGCGCACTACAAAACCATCTGTTTGACATTCATTTTTAAATATGATTTTTCTTAAAAGACACAAAAAAAAAAAATCAACAAAAATGTTGATAAAATCTTATAGTTTTCATCAAAATGTACTTTCATGAAATTTTGGGGCTTTAAAGTAGAACAAAGTCATTCATTTTTTGGTTTACATTTTTGCACCCTACACTGTACATGTGCGTGGTATTTTGATGACTCTTCTCACCCCCCATGTGTTTGAGTGTGTGTGTGCAACAGAGAGAGAGAGAGAGAGCGAGAATCCAAGAGAACATATCTGCTCACCAGTGTGTCATGTCCACTTTTGAACATATCAAATTGCTTAGATCACAGCTGCTAGTACAATCAGCTCTTAATTTAGAAAGCAAACGCCGAAAATAAACAGACAAAGACATTTGTTCGACATCACCCTGGGCTTACAACAACAGCAAAGATAAGAGAGATAGAGAGAGGGACTTCCCCAGGTTTCACAACGGGCTAGGCGGCGAATTCAGCGACTGTTCTCATCAGTAATATACATGAGACAATGATGTGCAATCCTCTTTCTTTTCTCTTCTATATTTATCCACCTATCACAGACTTATCACACTGTGAGGCCTGTCCTTGTGTGCCCAGGTCTCAGAACAGGCCTCCCTGTAACACCTCCCACACGGCCCTGCTGGTTTCAGACAAACCTGCTACGGCTATGAGCTATATATAGGAGCAGTTGGGAAGTCTTCCGTGTTCACACTTCCATACCCTGGGGGGTTATGGGCCTTAGTACCCAGGCTACCAGACACTCCCCTAATAGAGTTGTTAGGGAATTTTAACAGTATTTACAGCATGCTAGTGGTAAACTGAATCTGATATCATAGAAGATGTAGAGTGATTAATTGTAGTCATTTAATTGTAAATCAGATTGGGGAAAACACATGGCATAATCTGAATATTGATATTGTTATATAAACTACTTTATGTCATCACAGACTTATTAAATTCAATTTACTAGCGCAGGAAACATAACATAATTCAAAATCAATCAATCCTTTACAAAAATCTGCCAAAAAAAAAAAAAAAAACGACAACATTTCAACACTGCAGTCTTATAAAACTAATAGACCATGTTCAGATGAAGAGACCTGCATGGAGGATCAGAAAGCATGAAAAGCTGGAGCTGCAGCCCAGGGCACAACCCTCTGATCTCAGCTGGTGACTGGCAAGGAACCTGCTGAGCCCAGGTTATTGTCTGGGCATTTGTGCAATACTCATCACAAATCAAACGCTGACTGGTGTAAAGCAGAAGCACCTGCTGGGGGAAGGTAAAATATTTTTTTATTAGGTTTCAACTGCAGATGTCTCAGGCCAGAGGACCAAAAATGTACACTGCTGGCAGGCACAGCCTCGCCTCAGTCAGTTTCTCACACCATATTGAGCTGGAACAAGTCCAATAGATGTGACAATTTCTTAACATATCTCCACTCTGGTGTAGCATAAGGTCTAACAACACTATTGACATTGTTATTTGCTTTGTTGCAGGAGGGTGTTCTCCACATAAATATTGATTAGCAGCAGGTTCTGCTTGGAGAGAAAAAGAAGTGGTCATGAAGTGATTCAGCCATACTCGCAATAACCCCACTGTCTGGCATCAAGACAAATTTTGTTCCGCTTCAGTACTCAGGTAAAATGTACGTCCTTGTAAACATTAGTTCATTCTATGAAAATAAAATCTAATGAATTCAGTTCAAAATGATTGTCACTGACTGTTTCCATCTCAGCTGTCTTTACCACTTGTATACTGATCTACTTTAACTGAGGCTGAAAAAAACTTCTTTCACAAAAGGAATTGACAAAATTGTCTCTTTTTCATTTTTGGGCGCCATAACCAAATACTGTAGGCTTCTGAGAACAGAACTGTATCACAACAAAGTAGTGCTGGATGGTGACATTGTTTTCTACATAATAATAAACTGTATATCACTGTGAAAAGACTGCAACCTGTCAGAGGGCAGCAGTGTCATGGCATCCTGCACCGTAACCTGGAGTACAGCCACTGGCCATGTGGTCAATGACTTGTAGTGTTTCTGGCCAGGAGTCTGAATGGCACGTTGCGTTGGCCAAAACCAACGGTGCATCAAATGTCACGTAAAGTCATCTGAAGGCCTGTTTGTTTACAAGCATGACGCAAACTCGTTTATATTGATTTAAGTCAATAAAGGTGTCTGCCAACTGAGAAATCCAGGGTGAACGTTCCATCAATCAAATGATTTGAATGATTTGTGAATCACACCACAGAAAGCTCGAAGGAATATTCCAAACTGTGCCCCTCACCTACCCCCACCCCATACACGGGCACACACGCATACTCTCACACACTCACACACTCACACTATATGGCTCATACCCCAACAGTTGCCCGTTTGCAGTGTGGCAGCAGTGACACACACTGATGGTCGAGGAGCAGCGCAGCACTGATGATTCTCCCCGAGTCAACCTGCTAAAAATAAACCTGTGTAATGTTGCTCCCAGCACGGTGCGAGAGCAAAAGAAAGCAAAAGGTTAGCAGCCAGAATAAAAGAAGGCTATGAGTAATGCTGCAATGCCTAAAAAGGTCTACATACATAGCTATGTATGTTGCTACTTATTTGGATATGTAGCCTAATAGGCTGCGCGTTTTGTTTTTATTCTCAAGAAGGCGACAGTGAATGTGGTAGAAACACAAGAAGGGTCCTTCCAAAGAGGCAAGGATAATGATGCAAAAATAAATGGGTGTTTTGCATGTGACCTCATGTGCATGTCTCTGCTGTATTACTCTACTCAGTGTATTGTGTAATGAGGCAGTGGTACAACATACAATAATATAAATAATAAACTTATTACGACATTAATTAAGACAGCTAGCTTTTGTTGACCTGTAGAAATAACAATAAGCCACATCTTCGTGTAGCACCATCTGTGATCTACATGGCTGCCATTTTGTAAATCTGGCACTCAGGACAGGTTAGCTGAATATCAAACTGGGCCAAGGAGAAATTGAGCCAAGGAGAAACACTGGCAATGGATGCGATTAATTACGAAAGGAAGAGGAAGAGAAGTTTTTTTGTCAGTGTGAGAGAGCTCTCCCATCGGAGGACACAGAGGAGGATTAAACTAGAGCGCTCAGGTGGCTTTTGAGGAACAAAACTATCTTCTCAATGCACCGGGCCTGTCCCTGCAGTACCCAGAGCTTACTCAAGCTTCTGTAACTTGACTCATCACTCAGGAGAGTCTTGTCTTTTAACACCAGCCTCTTGAGTGGGCCTTAACTGCTGTGAACTTGTTAACACCTTCCAATCCAGTCAATCCCTGATGGAGGCCCTGGGACAGAGCTCCGCAAAGATCAGAGAGGTAGTGTTGCCCACGGACGGCGGGCCTTGCATCAGCGCTCAAAATTAACCCTGCAGGCGCCAGGGGAGTTGAACCCCGGACATCTGCACCCAGGACCATGTGTCCTCACTGAGCCCGTTGCCACACAACCCTCCCTCAGTTTGGAGAAACATTCTGGTGGCAAAAGCACATCCAGTAGGAATGTCGGCGATTTAAGCCCACCACGGCCTCAGTGTCTGGATAAGTCATGCCTCAACTATAGATTCTTATGCAGTGGCGATTCAAACATCAGAAATAATGTCAAACAACAACTGCAAGTGTGAAACTATTGTGCAAATATGCTGCTAAAGTTTAAGGATTCCCCTCTGTTTTACTTCCCCAAATATTTCAATTTCACTGAACAACCACGGTTTGGCAAATCATAGGCACAAATCGCAACCAGTGTCATAGCTGAAAGAGCTACTATACTGAGCTAAAAAGATATATTATTTACTCTACTCAACAGCACACCACCAGGGAATAACCCATGTATTATGTAGGTATACATGTGTGCTGTTGTGTATCTGCAGTCATGTGCATTTACACTGTATATATTAGGTGCATGTGTAAAACCCAAGGATCATATTCTGCTTGCAGCACAGTGGAGGTAAATTGAATTAAACTGAACATGATGAGGGCAGCAGGCCTGGAACCCCCAGTCAGAGGATTTATCCTGAGCACGGGGGGATTGAGGCAACCTTAACTGAAGGCCAAGGGGTTCCACTGGAAAGATCCGCGGAGAGGCATCGAATTTATTCAAATTTAAACAGACTAGAAGGAGATTTTTACATGACCACTGGTTTGTAAAATACCCAGGACGTTAATTGCCAGTAACACACAGAAGACAGTTTTCTTTTTCTCTCCATACAGACATTACATATATATCTCTATGAAAATGAAGCCTAATGATTTTTAAATAAATAATAAACCCATAACCATAAAAATGCATGTGATTCTTCTTCTAGCAAGGGCAAGAGGTATGAGAGCAGTCAGCAGAACTTGTGCAGGGCGTGGTGAGAAGAGGCCACAGATGGCAACAGGTGGCACAGCTTGTGGAACTAGTGCTCCCTCAAAGTCAGGAATAGCCCCACAATGGGTCAGAAAATGGACAGCGGTGGGGGCAGCATGGCTGCCTCCTATTTTAAGGCTTTGACTGTTGGTCAGTCTGGAGACTCACAGACATCCACATCCCACGGAGCTGACTGGGTAATATACAGCTTAGCCGTGTGCACTAGGACCGCTCATGTACAATACATGATCCTTTTACTTGTATCTTTGGCCTTTTACACAAGAAATCCTGCCCAGTCACAAGTATAATTCTCTCTGTTTGTCTACATCACTTTCACACTATGTCTGGTAAATGTGGGTATGCATTTCAGACAGACATGAAAAGACAGACTACCTTCTAGATCCGAATGCTGGTGTGTTTTGTTTTACAGTGAAACAACTCAACAAGCAAAAAACACCACTGACTATCACTATCACTGGCCCTTACAGACCATCTTATGTGAGACACTTTCAGATTCTCAGTCCTCTAAGGGGTCACTGACAGCTAGGACATGAAGTGGAGTGACAGGCTCAAAGAAAGGCACAAGGGCAAAGGCACTTTACGCAGAGGTGTTGATCTGATGCCTCTATCCCTGCTCTCCTGTTCGAAAGCCAGGAAAGGACGTCAGGTGCCCTTGGGACTGGGGGGGGAGGGCAGTCTTAAGGAAGGAGGGGTGTGTAGTAAGGCAGTTAAGTATGACTGATGTGTCCCTTCTACTACTGCCATCAGAGGGATGTCCCAGACATGCCTCATGCCTTCAGAGGAGATCACGTGGAGACAGTGCGCCTTTAACTTTCCATGTCTCCCCCCCTGCAAAGTGAGGACGCCAAAGATGTTTTTACTGTATCGAGGATGAATAGTATTACCACTCAAGTATCATCACACTTGTGTGAAGAACTAATCAAGGCCTGACAGAAGCTGTGATACATTTGTATATCAAGAAAGTCCAAATCTGTTTGGAGTTGGACAAAATTCTCAACACACAGCACTGTTTTCTGTGCTAAGAGCAGAGCTTTCATTTTAGAAATATGCTGTAATTACATATGCGCTAATGACATTTTTTTAATATATTATATTAGTAGTTGTCTTAAGCCCCTTTCACATTCAAACCCTCTGAATGACATCGGATACTGAACGCAGCTTCAATCCCCATTTGGTCAGTCAGAGCCATTCACACAAGACCTAGTTAGTGTAGGGTTTCTAGCAACCTTATAATAACCCTATAGTTACTATAGTAACCTATGTTTACCATTACACGCCAGCTCTGAGCGGTGTCCGACCCATGTAAAACCCTGGAAGCGAGCGTCGTCGTGGAGCCAGGTTGGTCATGTAAAATACCAATTCACACTTCACTGCTTTGGCTTAGAAAAAGGAAGCTATTTAACACCTGCAGGTAAATAACTGTAAAAGAAATGACTGTGTTCCAGGTGCATTCACATCGCTACACCTAATGATGAGTCTAACGATGTCAAATCATACAGTGATGACTGCTGAGCATTATTTCATAAAAAGATTACTTCTATCCTGCCTACAATGTCCAAAGTCAAGGTGTCCTTACTTGTTTCCAAATGTAAACAGTTCTAAACATTCAATTAATGCAATGCACTAACTGTAACATAATCAACTGGCTTCAGTCTCCAAATTTGTTTGGAATAGAGACACGTGTCAGAGGGGAGTGTAAGATTTCACAACATCAAGATTGTCATGTCGTCGTGTAAGCTTTGCTGCTGCTTTTTTTCTCTCACAAAATGTACATCAAATCTACTAAGCAACAGTGTTAGGATACAGTGTTGATGTCTCTGCTTTTCGAAATATAGATCTGCTCTGCCCAGGGCTGTTAGACAAGCTATGATGAAATGATATCAAATCGATTTCACCTTCCTTTAGAAGAAGATTACCCTTTTTGTTCCACTCTGCGGAATTAGCTTCTTCAGTGGCGTTCCTGACAGAGATCGAACCAATCAATAACGCAAATAATTACACACTGAGGCAAAGAGTTCATGATTCTCATAATTAGCCATAACTTGCAGGTTGTTGGAACCAAAACTCCTGCATGCTGTATGGGGGAAAAGAATCAATACATATTATGCACATGTAGTAGATTTAAAGACAGAGGCCACCAAAAGACACCTGCATGGGCCCGCAGAAGAGGTCTATAAAGGCATGAGTTGCAGCCACAGCCCCTCCTACCTGGAGAATGCATGTCCCTATAAGGCCAACTGCTGGGAATAAATTGCGATTGTGACAGTGCAGAGTGACAGCAGCTGTGCCGTGTATCTAAAGGGAAGCACGGGGCTGGGAGGGGTGAGGAGTCGTGAGGGGAGGGGAGTCGAATGGAGGGAGGAACTGTAGTGGACAGTGTTGGGTTTCAGGAGGCCTTCCAATCTTAGACACCTGACAGTAGCCTGGAATATGGAGGCCTGGCCCCGGGCAGTGGAGCTGAACGCCACCCCAAGGACGGGCAAGGGTGACAGACAAGGGTAACGGCAACCGCTGCAGTTCAGAACCACAGACCAGTCCACATTTTTTAGAACAGGCAGTCTGGGAGAAGTTGTCACTATGACAGTCAACTCCATGGGTGCCATGTAATCAGATTCATTGAGAGATTGACGTTATCACTGTACTTTATGATACTATGGATTATCATCACAGGAAATATAGGAATTTCGGCTCTGGAGTAACTCTTCCAAACCAAGTTGTATGAGATAAAATTCCATTCCATCCAAATCAATGGATGCTGAAGTTAAAGAGAGGACAAGCTCAGTGTCCATTTAAGCTTCAGCGTGGTTTTTCTCCTCTCTGTGGTTAGACTAAGACTTTCCATCAGCTGGTGCCACGCGTTAGGACAGCTGACATGCTGTCACAGGAGAGGCTGAACTCTAGCTTGAATAATCCTCAACTGCTTTCCTTTTGGAAGCTCATCAAAATGACATGTGCTCATACATCAAAAGTGTTAGGCATTACAGTGTGGATTTTTTTTTGTGGATTTTAATAATTAAAAAGATGAGAAAGAGCCAGTTAAATCCATCATTTTGTATTGGGTGACAACAGTTTAATTATAAACTGGGACAGATTTTAAATAGTCCTGCTTGGTGGCAAAGAAAGACCGTGGTAACATTTCTATCTCTGTCTCTGTCTATCCTCGGCTGGTGTCCCCATGACTAATAATAATAATAACATAATTATCATTTTAACAGTATGAAAACTGAACAACCTCTGAATCTGTACTGTCACCGTATGATCAGACCATCAGAGCAAGTCTGGCAGCAGCACATTCATTAAACCAACCTCTAAACTTACACCACGTCACCGTTTCATTTGTTGGGCCCACTTGTAAAAAAAAAAAAAAAAAAAAAAAAAAAAAACATACCTTGTGCCCACAGTGCACCACCTCACATAAAACGTGAGGAAGCCACCCAATATTTGATTTAAATGCTTCTTACCTGCTGTGGCCTGCAAAAGCAGCAGGGAGAGGAAACAGCAGAATGAGACTGAACCCTTCATGATGGCTGCCAGGAGAACTCTGATAGTCACACAGACTATATATACCAAGGCAGAAAGGTTAAAGGGCATGCAAAGAGAAGAGGCGGGGCACAGACAGAGCCAGCTGGTAGAGGGGCTGAGATCTGTGTGTTTGAGGTGTTGCAGGACTCATAGCATGCCACAGCGACTCTACGTGTACAAGCAGCTGACCCTGCTATTCAGAGAGGTCACAGCTTGGGCCTCAGCATCAATCCATGAAGACCGGGCTCTTTCTTTAAGTTTTGAATCACTCAACTTCTCATAGGTGTTTATTTTATAAAAAAAGTTTTACATTTTACAAAAGACTGAAAATAGGTTTTATAAGAAATAACATCTCTAACAATATATGAGCCATAATAAGATATAAGATGTAAGATAGTGAAAAGGCAAACTGATTTGACATTAGCAGTTTAACTCTGAGAGGAGTAGTATTAATGGATGATAGGAGGCAGGTTCAAGGACAATCGCCTGCTTCTAAGTAAATGGGGATATAACTTTAAAGGAATAGTTCTACATTTTGGGAAATGTGCTTAGTCTCTTTCTTGACAAGAATCAGAGGAGAACGCAGATGCCACTGTCATGTCTGTCTCCACTGAAGAAATCATGTTTTTTGTCTAAAAAGGCCTCTGACAAAGAAAGAGATCAGACCAGAGCACAGGCGAGCTGGCCATGGGGACTACCGGCTCAAATCCCAGTCAGCAGGTGGACCATCAGAACATCCATAAAGTTTTTACTGGCTCAGACAGTGTCATTCCTGCAACTGGTGGAAAACTCCATGGCTGAGTTTCTTTCCCAGTCCGACCCTGGAGCCAATACTGGTCTTACCGAGCTGCTAAAGGGCTCCAGCTTGACTCAGAACTGGCTTTTGTTCTCCTTCATGTGTAAGCAACTTGATGGCTACATAATGTTACATCTGTTTTCAATAGTGACCGGCTACAGTGAGCATGATAATGTTAGCTGACATGCTGTTGCCAATATTATAAATGTGTCCGGCAACTGTTGCTATGGCTTATGTGCTGTAAGATAAGCTAACCGGCTGCTAGCTGTAGTCTTATATTTACAGGAGAAATATAAGAGTGGTATCAATCTTCTCATCTAATACTCAGGAAGAAAGCAAATAAATATAATTTCCAAAATGTCCAAATACATTTTAACATTCAGTTACTTCAATTAAAAACAAAGAATGATGGTCAAATGACTGAAAAATTATTTACAGCCTTCTCTCCGCAAACTATTTGCAGTAAATGTGCCAAGTGTAAATGAGGGCCTGGATAGACACAGTGCTCACTAGGCAGCCATGTTGGTAAAGAGTTGTGGGACATTTCGAGTTCTCTTGGGGGCCCTCTGGTGGCCATGGTGGCCCTAAGCAGGCTCTCAGTTTGCCGGCACTGACTGTGTGTGTAAGAGAGTGAAGGATGAGAGCAGAGAGGGTATGTCTGCAACATTAAGACCCCTGAGTCAACCTAGAATCCCTAACACAGCAAAACGCTAGGCGGATTACTGCTTTATCACACCCAAGCAGACACACTGTGGTGAACATAATCTCACAATTCCTCGAGAATCAACATCTCAACTGTAAATTAATCCCCAAATATGGCAGGAGTTTCTTACTCAAGCATGTCCATCCCAAATGACTTGGAAAGCGTGTCCAAACAATACAGCATGTTCATTTTGATGCATACAACTGCCTTAATCCTGAGGAACTTCACTGGTGGTGGGATCTACTTGAGAGGCATGATGATTTGTTTATGAGAAAATCTGTGCTTTTGATGAGCTTTTCTGAATTCTAGTGAACATTAATTCTTTGTTAATTACAGATTGCAAACCCTGGCATCAGTCAGTCTTTTGCCAAGTGTGCCTTTAAAATGTTTGCTGCAGCTTTGATGCTGCTGTCACTAGCCATGGAAAAGCAGCACATAAATGACAGACTGATAGTTTATAAAGCCTTCAGCCAGTTTATTCAGACGTGTAGAGACTGTATTCAAGCCAGAGTTTGAAGAAAGGTTCCACTTCCAATTTTTGCAGCTTAGTAAGAATCATATTTTGATAAATTCAACAAATGCATGTTCTAGTGCATGAAATTTAAAATGCCAGTTGCATTGTTGCTGTTTTATTTTAACCCATGTAATTCATGTATAGGGCTCTAGTTTAGGCCATATGAGGCTGCATATTGAACATATCAATATTAAACATAGTCAAATTCACAAAATAACATAATTTCAAAAGAAAAGGGGTTTACCATTCCAGAGGCAAATAGCTTTAGGAATGTAGCTCTTTTTTAGCAACTTTAGCCTAAAACAGTGTAGTCTACAGAGCAACACGGAGAGCATTTCTTTAAAAAGTGGAGATGGTGGGTGAAACTCATCCCTTATGATGTTTGGAGCCTTTTGGTGAAGTTAAACTATTAAAAAATGAGAGACGAGACAGACTGGAAGTAATAATGCAGTCTTCACTATTTCTGATTCTTCACTATTTTCTCTGATTTCTTCTGATTATTTCAACAGTAGTCTACAAAACCAAACTGTGACAGAGAAAGTTGGCACACTTTCCACATCCATGATGTGCAAAAACCAGACCATAGCTTCCCTTGAAACTTGAGCTTCCTCAAAAGAATAATATAATGAGTCTGTTGTGAGTTTTTCCTTTCGTTCCCATTTGAGATTTTTTTTAATTTTGTGTTCCCAAAGTTAAGATAACAGTTATCTTATGTTAACACATTTGAATTTGCTTATTAAAGAATCAGCTCACTTTGCCATAATATACTGACTGACTGAGCCTCAGTTGACACCAAAACCAGAGGTATTTCTGAAGCAACGTGTGAGGGTGTGAACAAGAGGCTTGGAGTGAATGAATGCGCATCAGGAGATGATGGCAAGAGATGCCACCTTCTGTCCCTGGTGTACATTTTAACCGTCACAGAGGAGGTGGTCGATCTTAATTTAGCAATGAGCTGCAGAGTTGGGGAGGGAGGGGGGTTTCAAAGTCTCATCCACCAATCAGGAGAAGACACTTGTGCATCAACTGTACTGCTTGAGTGACAGCCAACCAGATCTGGGGGGGGGGAACTAATTCAGTTGGTTATGCCATTATTAGTACTACACTTCTCAGATGTTTAAATAGTCAATATTTAGTCCTCATTTTGAAGAAACAAAAACAGAAAAGACACACACATAGAACCCAATGTGTAAAAAACAAAGTACAAACTTTATTATTCTGTCTTTACAAAGGCACAAGCCTCTTTATCCCCAAAACATTTCTCTTAAAAAACAAAACAAAAGAAAAAAAAAATAGCTTCTTGATGACCATATGCACCGACAGGTCTAACATAAAAAGGTACAGAGGACACACAAAAAGAGAGGGAGAGGAGGGAGTTGCAAAATGTGAAGGGCGACAAGAGATACTGACGATAGATAAACAAAGACAGCATAAAAGATTGCAAAAGAACAAAAAAAAAAAAAAAAAAAGATGCGAGGGACAAACAGGTCAAGTTGTAGGAGAACTGGACATGGAAGGAAAGGGGGATACACAGCTGTGCGGCTTTTACTCATAACCTCAAGAGCTTCAGCTGAGGAGATGCCCCTTTTTACGAAACAAAGAGGCAGACTCCAGTATAGTACAGTAAGTGCTTTGTAATCTTGACGCCATTAAATGATCCCGGGCCCATCCCACTTATCTGACAATCTGATATGTCCACGTTACGTTTCCTAAGACACAGAAAAGAGTGCAAAACACAGATGGAAAAGAAAACAGCTCTGGGATTCAGCAGAAGACTCTCAAATGCAGATACTCAGAGGAAAAAGTCAGGGCTCTACAAAGAGCAGAGCATTCAAACAATGTTTTCAATATCCAGGAATCCCCTTCCTTTAATGATAAGTACTGGGAAAATGTCCCATGATTATATTTAACTCATTTCAGTGGAGCTGACATCAGTATTTTATTAAAGGGCAATTCCATGACATAAGTCATGATAGATGAAGTGTATCTGTCCTGCAATTCAAAGCTCCATCTATATGTTGGTGCAGGGGATTCTACTAAATGCAAATGTAAAATAGCAGTGATGTGTCAAAAGCCCTAAATGTAACTAATCTCTAATATATCAGGTTTAACATTCGAAAAGTCACCTGATGTGAAAAACGGAGTAAAATTTTATGGAATGTCAACATTTCATTGTGGAATTTTTATCCACACACGTGATGATAATAGTGCACACAATGGGGCCAAAACAGTTGCAAATCTACATGCAAATCCTACTAGAAGTAAGTATTCAGAAACATTTTGAATACTTGTGTGTGTGTGTGTGGGGGGGGGGTTATCTGGAGTGCTTAAATGTAATTATTATACCAGCAACCTGTTCATTTTTGAGGCAAACACAATAAAACAAACATAAGTGGAATAGACAAAATAACTGGGAATATATATGCTAACACACCCTGGGAGTTAACAAGCCTTTTTGGAAAGGCAAAGTGAAAACCAGAGGGATTCCAGTGGCCACCGAAAGGCCCAGATCAAGTGTTCAGGTACGTCTCTCAGACCCCAGGGCTGTGTTAAGGCTGGCTTCACAGTGCCTCCCTGCACCCACAGGCTATTAGTAAGGCAAGTTGTTGCCTCTCTCAGCTACGTCTTATATGTCAATCTGTCAACCAACAGTTCCAGGCAAAGAACACATTTAGATCTAAGCTGAAATATGAAAATAGTGTGGTACACTAGCCAAAAAGCGCACAAAAAGACAAATGATCTATGTAAGGAAATGCATAGAGCATGTGTGGTTGACCCAGTCACCTCCATGGCACATTCAAACAATTTCACTGGGCATTTTCCTCCATATTTCCATATTTGAAGCATACTCTGCTTGGATAGATGTCCCAACATTTGGACAAGAAACTACACTGATAAGGGCTAAATAAAACCAGCCCTTATGATTTAGCAAACAAGTGATTGTATGTCAGTCATATTTGTATGTGTGAATGTTGTGCACAAAACACACACACGCGTGTGCCTTATTTTCAAGGCAAAAGTGGCGTTGCTGCAGACTTCCAGAGTCTGGGGAACCACTAACGCCATGCTGATTGAAAAGGCTAAAAGGGACACACACACACACACACACACACACCCACACACACACCCACACACACACCCACACACACACCCACACACACACACACACACACACACACACACACACACACACACACACACACACACACACAAAAACACAAACAAAACACACACACACACACACACACACACACACACACACACACACACACCAGTGGAGATCACTGAGGAGTGCCCACAGATTAGCTTATTTAACAAGCTAGGTGCTTTTGTTTTCAACGAGGGAAGGTATGTCAAAGCACTGATTTTCTTTTCTTTTCTTTTTTTTGTCTTTTTTTTTTTTTTTTTTTTAGGCCATGAGTAAAACAAAAAACATGCCAAATACATATGTGGGATTACTGGGAACCCAGCCCAGTAAAAATGATAACAAACAAATAGAGTTGTGAACCAGTAAGCGCACTGGTCAGCCATGACAACAGCTTTTAAATTGCAGTCAGCGTGGTGCTTTTTCGTGTTTTTCCAGTACAATCACTTTAACTTGCTGGCTGTGGGAGCCTTAGAGAAACCGAACATGTAAAGGTAGACTTCACAAGAGTAAAACGATACAATCTTTCACCCAGAAGCCTGAAAAGGTGTAACTTTGAGACAGTTTTGTAAGCTCACAGTGTCTCTCCAAACAGCTCAGATGGGTCAGGATGAGAAGGTTTAAAGGATGTTCATCTTAGCAGAAATGCTCTGGTCTTGGGTGGTGATGACGCTACACTGCTGGGCTCTTCATTGACTCCTGTCTTGTCTCCTGTTTCGCAGATAAGTCACATGGCTTTGGGGCCGAATAAAGAGACAAACAATCCCGGCGGTTGATGGAGATGTTTCGCAGACATTCGAAATTCTAGTATCCCGTATGACAGAGCATTTATAGATCAGTCAGTGAAGTAGTTGCTCTAATAACCTTTCTACAGATTAATGAAAATGAGTTTGCGTTTAAGTGAGATAGCAGGGGGCTAGAGATAAGCAGAGAAAGGACGCAGAAGAAACTGCATGTATGAGTGTCTAAGTGTTAACCTATCTGGGCTGCCTATAACGGTACAACATGTAAGAGTGCGTATTAAAAAATAAAATTAAAAAAAAAAAAAAAAAAAAAAAAAAAAGGAAGAAAAAAGACGAGTGCTTCAATCTGTCTACCAGCCCAATTAATGTCCACTGAGCAAGAGTGCTGTGGGTTTGAAGCCTCCCATAGCCCTGGTCTGCGCGGGCCTTTTCTGTGTATGCGTGTTAAGTGTACGCACGAGACGCCGTGGGATGAACTCAGGGAAGTGAACAGTCGTCAGGCCCGTCGCTGTTTGAGGCGGTGTCTGAACCCGCCGCGTCGGAGAGGACGCGACCTGAAGTGACGATGACTGCCCTTCGCTGCTCTTCCTCGCCGACACAACCCTTCCCCTGGGTGCCCTCAATGTGCTGGATTGCCTAAAGGAAGGAGGAGGGACATACGTGATGTGAGTGACGACAGCCCCCTCTAGTGTTCACATCTACCAACCTTTTCAACAAGAAATGGTTCATGACTCTGCTTTTGACATCCTTGTATTTGCGTCTTACTTGAACAATGGTGTCCAGGTTCTGTCGAGATGTGGACACTGTATTGATAACTGATGTCGGGCCCATGGTTACCACAGTGACGTGATGGGATTGAGCGGGCTGGACAGGTGCAGGGACGATGACCGTAGCATGGTGTGTAGGTGCAGGAGGGGTTGCCGGGGCCAACACCTAAGAGAAATAAATACTGATTATACATTCTGTTCATGTCACCATGTCACTCTGATAACAAGTGAAGTAAATGGACATATTATAAATCTGCACACAATTCAAAAATATATAATCTATACAAATAGAAACAAGTTAAGACAGTGCATATACATATACACTGTGCACTAATACACAAATAACTGGGAACACAGCTGGACAGCATACGTAATATTAACCAGGCCAGATGTTGGGAATCTCTCATCAAACTGAATTTCATCACCCTTCTGTTTGGGGAAAGGCTCTCACTGTGTGTTATGAGTTGCCTCTAAAAAAAAAACAAGGTTATTGGGCAAGTGGTTGTTTTTACCTGAAATGGCACAAGTAAGGGTCGTTCAGATTTCTCATGAACGTGCCACCAGACAACAACAGGTGGAGCTTCAGATCGGAATGAGCACGACCAAGATGGAGCACTCCACCCCATTGTGGTACACCCACGCAAAAAACAGGAACTCTAACCTTTTAATACCCTTAGCCCAAATCAAAAGGCCGCCCAATGATGCCCAGCTGGCTATATAAATCTAAATTAGTTCATTATTGTTTTGTGGCTAATATGATGCTTGTGTCCTTTATGTTCAGCAAAAGTTAAACCGTGATATTAAAGCAGATCATGTAAAACAGTCTGTTAGCTGTCATGGAGCCATAATGATAGTACAAAAGATGTATTTGAATGAGAGTTCATTTTATTTCCAGTAATTTGTTGTTTGTGGGGTGAATTCATCAGATTACACTGATATCGATTTGAGGTCGTATCACTCAGCTCTGCTTGGGGAGTGTCACATGCCTAAACCAGCGTGTATCAATCAGTGTTCACCACCAACGCCCAGCTGCCACCAGCTTGGGATGGACGGACAGCACACACCGATTGATTTGGCATCGTGTTCAGTTCGGGTTAGCCTGCAGAAACAGGATACTGTGGCTGTCAGGGTAGGAGACGGGCACAGGCAGAAAGATGTGCGAGCTGCTCATTTAACACACTGTAAATGTGCCTTAGCTGTCGACAGCTCTAATTCAGGACACGAAGGGGACTGTCATGTACAACTATGTCAGCGTGAAATCTATAGTACATTGTGAGATTGGATGGATGTGCATGCGTTTTAAAGACATGAGTTTAGGATAATAGAGCCTACAATAAACACTGGTTTTCCAAATATACTGGGCAAAAAATGCATGTGTGTTAAAAAAAAAAAAACACTCAAGCGGACACAAACCTTTAAACATACTTACTGTAGTCCAAAGCATATAGTCAATGAGGAATTAAATAAATTTGACAACTGCCCTTTAATGTAGCTCTAAAAAGATCCATTTTTCTTTAGGCATGAAATGTGTGAAGTTAACCAATTACACAAAAGTGAAATTCATCACCACAAGCATGATTCTCAAAAGGATTCTTCTGTTTATGCGTGAGTCAGACTCGTATGCAAATGTTTCAAACCTGTGGGCTATGAGCTGGAGTGAGGTCCCTCTCCAGCTGCTTGTGCTGCTGCAGACGAACAAGGCTCTGTGGCTGGGCCTGCTGCTCCTGGACCTGCTGTGCGATCGCTTTCAGTTTCTCTGGGTACAACTGCGCATCCAGGGAACGCATCTGACAAACAGAGCGAGAGATAAAAGTGTTAGTTGCATGTTAAAAAATTACTTGTAAATCGGGTTTGCCTGGACATAATTTCAGCCTAAAAAAAAAATTGTGCCACATGTTGTTCCTTACCTGATCTTCCAGCATCATCCTGACTGACCGCTCTTTCTCCAGCTGCTGCCTCAGCTCAATCATCTCCCTCCGCAAATCTTCGGTCTTCTCCTCCTCCAGGATGTCTGGCGAACCAATCCCTTCATCCTTCTCCTCTGCACGCCTCCTCTTTGGGGAGGAACCACTTAACTCCTAGGGAGAGCAAACAGAAATTGGAAATCTGGTTTAGATCAATACTAAAACGGATGACACAGAAAAACAAGAAAAACCTAATAACAGCTTTGTAAACAGTTTACGGTTTGGCACGGTGATGCCTTACTTGTATGATTCGTTTGAGCTGACTGTTCTGCTGCAATAGCCGCGTCTTCTCCTGCTCCAAAGTAAAAATGTACTCTGCGGTCTGTTGCAGGATGGCAGCCTGGGGAAAACAGAATAAGAATAATGTTAGAGGCCTGTTATGATGGTGAGTTAAAGCCACATCTAACTCATCAACCAGTTCAAATCTCTTTTGGTGACCCACCTTGCTGAGCTTTTCTCCATCACTGTGTGGGATGAGTGTTTTAAGTGACTGGAATCCAGCATTGATGCTCTGCATACGCCGACGCTCGTTGCTGTTGGCAATCTCTCTGCGGATTCGCCTCTCTTGGTCCCGGGCTGTTTCTGGGGTCAGAGGAATGTTGGCCAGACTGGCGGAGAAGGGAGAATAAGAAGGGGCCAAGGAGTTAGTCTGACATAAAGAGAAAATAATGATGGTGAATTTTGTTCTAATTAAAATTTATAAAGGAGTAATATTTTCCTACAGATGAACAATTCAATAAAATGGTATGTTGAAATGCATCCTCAAGTACTATTAAACCAAATCCATTTGTTGGGGAGGTTTTGGTTGATTGCATGTCTTCCTTTGCTTCTTTGGGTCGAGCCAAATTCCCTCAGTCTGCTTCTTCTTACTGCTACTTCAGTTAGCAGTTTCCTTCATTTCTCAGAATGACAACAGACAACCCCCAGTGGATGGGTGGAAAAGCGTTGCTTTCCACCAAAGCTGAGTATATAGAAATAAATATTAGAGGCTAAGTTAGCAAACAAATTCTAAGCACTGGCCTGCCTGTCAACATAATCCTCGCATTCTGAAAATGCACCGTCTGCAAGGCTACCGTCATTGGAGTTCTTAGCATTTCTGCCTTCCAGTTGGAAGTACTTTGTATCCAAGAAATAGTCCCAATAAAAACTATTGACGTCACACTGAGGTAACCAAGACAGAGAGACAGTTTCTAGTTGGGTTTCTATTCATTTCAGTTAGAGCTACATATCTCAAAACCTGAACACAAAAAAATGAAATTATCTGCATGGATAGACAAGTGAGATTTGGATGATCTATTTAATGTTACATCATCAACAAACAACAGAATACACCATGAAATAAGAAAAAAACACAATCAACAACAAGAATTCTGAGTGAATTTGTTCTTTAAATCCACCAATAACGTCTCCTCTGTATGTGTGCATCCTGCAGAGGTAAACACAGTGAGATATTGCAGGAATTAGAGAAAATATTCTTTAACACCAACACAAGAGTTTAAGCCCATGTTGGTCTGCTTGCACTCTGCTGAAGGGTCCTTTAGCAGATGCAGGATGTGGCTTTAGGACTGGACTGATTATGTCACACGACCTTTTAAAAGGGAACAACCTGAGAGAAATCCTTTACATGTGTTCAAGTGTAATATTACTGTGTATGCTCTTCAATCCCAGCTCTGATTTTGAAAAGGTTATGGGGAGTGAGCAAGTTTCCTCCTGTTAAAAGCAGTACATGCGCATTTTACAAGATGCCTTTTATGCACTGCCCATGTTAAAAAGATTTCTGGTGGTAGCTTTGCTATTAACTCCAGCTGACTGTTAAGCGCAGCTCAACATCTGTTCATATTTCCACCCTAAAACTGTGAGGAAAAGCCATTATATACCATTCACTGTAATTCAGCTGAAGGGAAATTCTAGGCAAACTTCCTCTAACATCCCCTGTATCAAGCTCAGTATCTGTGGGACCCTCTCTAGCCAAGCTCTTATCTGTACTGACTCAGCTGCCTCAGTGCAAACACTGGGAACAATTGTGCAGACACAGATGAGAAAAGGAGTGTGTGTGTGGACACACACAGTCACACAAACACACACAAGTACTAACACTGCGGCGGCACAGCCAGCAAACACATCCACTGCCAAAACATGACCAACTGGGCCTGGACTTCACCATATCACACAAACACAAACCACTATAGAGAAAGAGCCTGGGTCCCACTGAGAGTTGGATAAAGCTTAAAACAAGAGTTTAAGAACCAGGCAACTCAACAGAGCTGAACTTATTGGTTGATTAATTGATTAATGAATCAAATCAGATAATTATTTCCAGTATATTGATAATGATGGTCATTTTCAAGCCAAAATGTCAAACAATTAATGGGCCCAGATTCTCAAATATGAGAGGCTGCTTCCTCTTGCCTTAAATTCAACATATTACAAAAGAAGACACTTGGAGATGTAAAGTTGGAGATAATCATGTAGTAATTTTCACTATTTTCTGACATTTTACAGACCAAACTAAATCAGTGTATTAATAAATAATGGAAATATCCATTAGTTATGGGGCTACAAGAAAAATGTAAGCAGTTTTACTATATTCTTATTAATTCATTAGTCAATACAATATTAACACACCTGAAAATAAAGTTGATTTAAGTTTCTTAATTCTAAAATAGTATTAGATGAATTATACATTAGATTATAGATAAAACTGCAACACTTTCATGCACTTTCTGTCCCAGTTCCATTGCTTTTAAGTTTAGTAGCCATTTGAAGTCAGTGTGGGTGTAATAAGGGTTGATTTTAGATTTTCCTCTTGTAGCAATTCTCCGCAGGCTTACTCAGAGGATTTATTAAAAAAAAATTAAAATAAAGGGACTACATTTCCCAGATTGCCCGCGTCACTACGGGCAGCAGCAACAGCAGTAGATCCCTCCGCCTCCCTCTTCTAACAGGGCTGCGGGCAGCGGACGTACAGACGGGCCTTCCGCGACATACACACCCCCTTATTAATAACACCACTTTTAATCTCCCTGCCTCCCTCCCCGCGAACGCCAATTGTCCCTTTGCCGGACACACTGAAGGGAATGTAATTATAATAGCCCGAGAGAGCGCCCTCCGTCAGTCACCACAGTGCCAGACACCACCGCCGTGCTCCGAGCAGTCAGACTTTTCGTGTCCTCCGCCATTACAACAATGCGGCAGGCAGCATGGCAGAGGTGCGGGATAAAAAGACGCAGTGGAGGCGGCTCGATAGCGCGAACTAGACGCTCAGAAACACCAGTAAAACTATCCCCATGTCGAGTGGGGGCGATTTTGACAACAGCTGTACATTTTCACGTTGGTAACAAACCAAAACAAGGCGCCATACACAGGAAACAAACGCCAGACCCCCTCATCACTTTTAGCACAAGCCCTAAGCATGGCCGCACTACCCACAATAACTTCAGGTCGCTCTGAGCGAAATCGGCATCCCTTTTGATGTGTGCGGCAAAAATAGACCCTTTCACACTGTAAGATACCCGCTCGCATAACCTTTGTCTTTCTTATGCAAATCTCAGCATCTGTAGGTGACACTGGGAGATAATTTGAGGATAAATAGAGCGGGGATGCGCTCTGGAGCGGAGTAGCAGCGTGGTGTGCACGGAACCACGTGGTTTATGTTTGTTAGCCACAAAATACATCGATTTCGCAGCCAAATGTGCGAAATAACATTAGGGGGAGGGTGCTGTGGTCTGAGCCGGAGCCCCGACTTGGTCAGCCGCAAGACAATTTCAGGGTTTGATGATAATAAATGCCCGCAGCTCCCCGTGAGTGGGTCGTGTACACAATAACAGATCAGATCAAGCATGTTGCCTCGGCGCCGTCGCTAAGTGCGTGTACTCCAAACAGATGAGTTATAATAAAAATACACAGCATGCTGGGTGAAGTGTATGTATACACACCTACAAAGACCTCCAATCACTTCTTTCTCCGTTTTCCTGAAATGTTGCAAGGAGGGCACCTTCTGAGCTGGTACCATGAAATACTCCATGCTCGCCTCTCGCCAGTTTGGTCCCCCCCCCCTCTCAAAAAAGCAGCAAACAGTCTTGGTAGAATAAAAGAAGAATGATGACGTTAGAGAGCAAAAAATGAGTGATCCGGGTTAAATCCTCAGAGAAGATATGAATCCCTCGGCTGTGTAATGTAGTAGTTTCAGGCTGCTGAGAGTTGTAATGTTACTCGACTTCCAGCTGATGGGGTTCCCTCGTTGTGTGTGGTGCTCTACCTCTCTCTCTCTTTCTCTCTCCCTCCCCTTTGCTTTCTCCCTCTGCATGACCGTGTGCGTGTGTGTGTGTGTATGCAGCTGATCGGATGGCTTTCAAGGCGGGAAACAGCTGGTAGGAGTCACACACTGCACTACCAAAAGCCTCCTTCCGCAGAGACAGGGGACTGCATGTAAACAAAGGACTATTTACACCGACCAGAAAGCGCACATGTGGACTTTAATATGATTAACAGCAAAACATTGAAACCCAGTTTATGATTAAACCTGCATTATACTGTTGAATTAGAGAAATCCTCGGGTCTTCAAGTTAGTAATTATCATTTGAATATCAGTCAGGAATATTTTTCTCTTGCCTCATTAAAATTGATACTACTTCTTATAAGGAGCGCCTATAATTTTAACCCATAAACATTTAAAGTATTCATTTAAAAAATAAGGTTAACGCGTTAATTATATAACCATATAACGCCTGGAATCGATTTTAAACATTTTTATAGCAGTAACCCGAATGTGTATTGCACCTTGACATCACAAATAAAGAGCGGGACTACTACAGGGGCGGATACTCCAACATCTGCGATAAGCGAACAAGAGAGATCAGCTGACGAGTTGGCAGAGCTGCACAGCAACAGCGCACCAGGGAGGGCTTTCAGGGACAGACTGCTGGCTGACACACAACGCGGCTCGACGGGAATGCTGCTGCTCACCATTTTGGGTGTAACAGTGGTACAACAGGACAGGAGGATAAACTGTAGTAACGTCGTTTCATTGGTTCAACTGAAGCTGCCTCGCGTACATGCAGCGAAGCCATAAAACGGGAGCAGAGTTTGATCTTAAACCCGGAAATGGGGTTGGGGGGCGGGGGCGCTTTGTCACCGCGGATGTGCATGTTAGCTTTTATTAGTTAGTCTGCCTTACTGATGCAGCTCTTAAGTTGTCAGGCGTTTACATAATGACGTCTTTTACTGGTTCTCACACAGCTGTTTACATGACTACTTTGCAAGAAAACTTAGAGGACACTTTGTATTCTTAAAATGTAATAAATATTAGCCTATTCAATTTACAAATATAATGTTTAATCCTAATAGACACAAACACTGATACTGCCCATACTATTAAATAGGAAAATAAAATATATGATAGGACATAAAATAAAAAGAATCTCTATGTCGTTGACTACTTGTGGATATGATCTCACATTGGTATTAAATTATCTGTTGAAATGGCCAGATATGTGTACAGTTTACAATACATAGGAATACATTTCAGCCAATTAAAACTATGGATTATACTTTGATTTCATGATAGATAAAGTCTTATTATTATGCAGCCCAGACACTGATTCAAACTTCGGCCTGTAGCCAATAAAAAAGCACCTGAATCAAATCTAGAACACAGCATGAATAGCTTACCAAATGAGACACCAAAATGCATAGGCTGCATACATTAGTTTGCAAAAGTATAAAAGCAGAAAGCATGAGTGTTATAGTGTTACAGTGAGCCACTTGGCCCTGTCACCACTACTCATGTCATTTTCCATGTTCCACGTTTTCATGTATTTCATCATTAACTTGCAAAGCTTCCAAGTCAAATTAACTAAATATAATGCAAACCTGCAGGCAATTTATTTGAAATTAACGTGGGACTGAAATGCTACATATTGCATTACAGTGCATTAGGAAATCTTTATCTTTATAGAATGTAAATGTGAGCTGGTTCATCTTCCTTTTAGAAATACAGAATCGTTATATCTCTGTGGTTTCCCACAAAATGGAAATATAAGGCTTTGCAAATCAATTCTTACTGTTGAATAAAATCTCTGAGGATTCTGAGGTAATTAAATCCTCTCCCAGGCTGCTTCACGCCCTCTAGTGGTAGCATGGTGAAAAGGTGAGGAGGGGTGGGGGAGGGCACTGCTAAGTGCGACAGTACTCTGATGCACAGTTTGCACCCCAGCATCACAGACACACAAAACAGGAATATCTTACAACAAATATAATAGGTATGAGACTGATGCAACATCACATTATGAAAAGTGGTCACTGCACCTCAGGTTGTGTTATGTTGCCTTGAAAAATCATGTATGTAAGTGGTGGTGGTTTGTTTTAGAGGTTGGCACCTACTGCTTACATTGGTATATCACTCAGAACTGACTCACATGTGTGGATGCTTTTGAGTTCCACATTTACAGCAGTCGCTGCCTGAACTGATGGTGCATCAGTGTTAAACACTGAAAAAGTAACAATCATGACGTCATACACCAAACACAGGCATACCGTGTTAGAAAAGAACAACCTTTACACACTGAAAGAAGCGTTTAGGAATGTAGTGCAGATCTCACCACACACCAGACCTTTAGATGTTGTTCATGACACCTTGCAACAAAAAAAACAAATTGTGTGTGTAGCCAAGTTGATATTGTGTTATGATCTGTGATTTGGACTCAACACTTAATTGCTATTATTTAAAAAAAAAACAAGCTACATAATCACGTTTTCTGTTTGAATTTTAAAATCGAACAAATTGCCAGTGTACATACAACATTTTTTCCTGTTCCTACTTATCAGCTGATCATCTTATCGATCAATTGGCTAATTGCTTCAGCACTAATTGCATATTGTATTTGTATAGCACTTCATATCCTTTACATTTCAGAAATGATTTGGAAATGATTGTACTTTTGACTCAGTCGACGGCTGTTTACTTTTTAGATAGGCCTATTGTTGTATATCAAATTACCTCATAGCATGTAAAATTATCTACAACATTAAAGCATATGTAATAATAACCCACCAATAGCCTTGTAATCGAGTAGGCCTATTTTACAGTGCAGTATTGCTTGTATTTTAGTCAAAGCTCTGATAACCTCTTTGACAACTCACCCCTGACATTTCTAAAGAGTGCCGTCCCCAAAGATCAGGGAAGTGCAGTTTTTTCCAGCACATGAAAATATACACGTTCACCAGTGTGAGAGGAGCTACTGTAAGTGTTGTGAGTGAAGACAGATGTGTAGGCCTCATTTTATTTAAATAATTTTACTATTGTTGCATTTGTTTTTTTTTTGTTTTGTCTTTACTATCGCTGTCCTTGTAGGCCCTGTGTGTTTCTGGTAGCACATGGCTGCAAGTGTTGAGTTGACTGTAATGATTTATAGGGGGGAAGATACACATTGTTATTATAGTTAAATCATTGGCTGTCTGAACTTTGAATTATGTAACACTTGGATTTGTATGACAGCCTGCTGAGGCCGAGCTGGTGGCCAGCATGAGAACAGAGATGTCTACAAAGTCTGGAGGAGAAAAACACTGAGCAGGGCAACAAACAGAGGGGTGTTATCCTTCAGGACGGCCTGTTGATGGAAGGGAGTTGAGGCGGAGAGATGGCCATGAGGACAGACAGAGAGGGAGAGGGGGAGAGTTTGGAGAGGAGCCGGGGACTGCCCATGGTGGATGGGCGGAGCAGTAAGCATGCGCTGAGCTGGCAGACTCTGGGCTGGTCCTGACGGGCTGGCTGGGCTCCGGACGGTTGTCTGTGTGCTTCAGACGGTCGTGGGGGAGACTACCATCAACGCTCAGCGTCTCCTCGAGTGCTCAGAGGGAGAAAAAAAAAAAAAAAAAAGCTGAAGAGACACGGGGATAACTGCGAGAAAAGAACGCAAACAGCCCCACCTCGGCATCTGGAAAAGCACCGAAGGAGAAGGAGACGATCCTCCCCCTCTACCCCACACCCCGTCGCCAACCCGCCCTATCTACTCTACCCACCACTTCGTGCCATCCCTGTGGTCTGAACTGCCCTCCCACCCCCCCAGGAGAACCACGAGCACCCATAGGAAACCCCCCACTTGACCAGCGTTGCCATTGAGCGATGCGCTTTGCATTTAGGAAGAAATCACTTATGCGTTTTTGATGCAGAACCCAACCAGTGGTCTTCATTTCATTTCCTCAGCGGGAACAGTTAAGGCTACGGATCTGGGTGTTTACACTTTTTTGACGGGTTTCCAGTGGCATGATAACATGCAGCATATATCATCCCACGGCAACAGACAAGGCTGTCATTCCATAGATTAGTCTTTATTTACACGCGCAGCTGTCACATACGCTGCGTTTGAGCTTATGTTTGATTTTTCCATGCTTAGAAATAATCCCGACAATGGTCTGGGAACGGACCGCCTCTCCAGACACCTAATAATATATTTTTAAGACGTGTCAGATCCTATATTTCGAAGAAAAAGCGAAACATTGACGAGGAGTCACTTGACACCGACGCCGTTCGAGCCACGGGACTTTGCGTGCGAAGTTTGCACCGGGAAGAGAGGGACCAAGTCGGAGATATCTCGGCTGTATCCACGGCGTTTTTCCCTGTAAGGTAAGCCGGGAGCACCCCTGTCTTGCATGTCAGACCTGTACATTGTGTCTATTGTCATGTGTGTCCACGTTGGTCTGAGAGCGCTGCAACAATGTGAAAAATTGCTCGAGTTCAAACAGGGCAGTGACCTATTTTCAGAGACTCTCCAGCGGTTCGCCGACATCCTGCAGCCTGGACTGCCCACACTGTCATTCTAAAGCCCGGGTTTGGCGGACGTGCCGTTTGTGCCATTTACGCAGACACCGTGTCAGTACCTAATTCAACATGGGAGCGACCTTTTCCGCGTGTCTGCATCCTTTGTGAACGGGCATCCCCCCCTTCAACCCCGAGAGTGATTTTTAGAGCAGTACTGTCACAAATCCTGCCCTATATAGAGGCGTACATCACGGCTCAGCCAGCTGTTGTGCAAGATGCAGGCTTGCATTGGGCTCTCTGATGTTCTGTCACAACATCTGATAAAGAGTTCAACGTCTACAGACTACTGACGGTCACTTAAACCAGTGATGTAAATAGAAAGGTGGGTAAATTGAGACCTCCACATGACGTAAACATCCACTAAAAATCGTGTCAATTTTCGGATTTATGATATATTTTTCCACATGACAGACTAAGTGTTATTTCATGCCACTGAGTTGTATGTCAGAAAGTGTTGTTTTTGAGTTCAGGCTCAGTGAGTTTTTTTGAGTTCAGGCCCAACTATGTTTCTGGTCACAACAGCAGATACAAGAACGCAGCATACCATGAGTTATTTATGCTTAAAAACCTTTCAGTGTGTTTCACAAACTGGGTGATGGTTGAAACTGGTGACATCTCTGCCATTTTATCATTTTTGTTCAGACCAATTCTAACTTAGCTGAGGCCAAGCATGTAATGCAGGGGGCAAGGATGAACACGGGCAGAGAGGCCTAGATAAAGAGCTATTTTCCTCCAATTAAGCAATTCCACTGTCCCTAAGCCTAATTGTGTGCACACTGGGACTGGGATTGGGATGGACCTTCTCCCCATTGGCTGCCTCCCATGGGCCCATTGTTCCAGAAGATGCCAGGGGAAAGAGCCGAGCCCTGCCAAGGCAGACCTAACAAGCCCTGTGCTGGAGTGGAATAAGGCCTGATCATTAAAAAGCATTAGGCCACAATGCAGATCGAGGCACACTCAGGGGGTTTCAGTTTTATTTTGGATCAGAGTAGAATGGCTGTATATTTCCAAGGTGACTGTGAGGTAGTCTTTGAACAATATAATGTGTGGATGCATGAGAGAAGCTGTCACACAGATAGCACATGAGGACTGGAGGAGGTCTGGCTATGGGCCCGCTCGACCTCTCTCAAAGTATGCGGGGAAGAGGAGCAGTGAAAGAAGCTGCACAGGCTGCCGAGGAGGACTTTGACTCCCTCTTCTCCCTCCCTATTCCAGGCCCCTGCTATTTAATCCATAACCCCACTCTGAACTGTGAGCACAGGTGCTCCTCACATCCCTGGCCTGCTCGCTGCATTGTTTATCCAATCAGCTGATGATCGGTTCAGCCACAGGTCAAGCATAACATCCATCTGACAGAAAGACGGGGGCATCTATCACCATCGGCACACTGGTTATTTAGGCGACGCCTCTCTCACTTAGTCACTGCAGAGAAAAAGCTCGGCTCCACCATAAAGCCAGATGTCCACTGGGGTCCAGCTGTGTATCCCTGTGGTGGCATTCCACACTCACAGGATGTGTGTGTGTATGTGTGTGTTTGTGTTGGCAGGCTTTTTTTTTTTTTTTTTGCTGTACATTTTCTCATCCTGACTGCATGCTTGGCCAAATGTAGATACTTGGACAGCTGCTGGAGAGCAACAGCTTGCACAGAGCTTTGCTCAGAGTTACAAGTTTGACACCAACTGGCTTCATCTGCTGTAATTAGTGCAGCAGTGGATATACCAGAAAATCTTTCCACCATGCCAGTCCCTGAAATCAAATCATAGGTGTGGTTGTCATCCCCCTCCCCAGTTTTCCCGTTTTGAGATTTCACCCCCACACCGCAACAGTGTGACATCATACCCCTGAGGTCCCAAACTGTGAGGGAAAGGCAGCTGCTTTATGGTGGAAAAGGTGGACCCTAATGGCATATTCCTGCGTCAGAGAGCAACCACGAGGCATGTGGTAGAGGGATGGTGGGAACCCACACTGCACTTGTACTTAATGCTTTAAACCAGACCAATAAAAGTGTGCCTCATCTGATATAAGGAGAAGCGTGCTCAGTTTGGTTCTTGCATCGCGCAGTATGCTACCACAGAGAAACTCTCATCTGATATCGGCCTGTTGTGGTCCACTAAAATATGTAGCCACTGGGAAAATAAAACTCAGAGGACTAGCTCTGCTCCCAGTAAGTGGGTGGAATTTAAGTGGTACAAACTACACTGGGAGAGTGTTTGAATTAATATCACAGTAGGGTTCCATAGCTGCTGGGGATTACGGTCAAACTGAAAGGCAACTCAGCAGCAGGGGAGGGAGGATTACAGTGGTCAGTGAATGAGGCAACACGCAGCGAAAACAAGGCACCTGATACACACTTGCATTCATCTTCACAGGGATAAGAGCCACTTCATTTTAGATTCCCATGACAGATATATCCTTTTACACTTGGAGGTAATTAATGCTAATCAGATGAACAGATATGTGATTCATTGTTGAGGTGCTCAACAGCTGAAATACAGCCACTAGTAGGGTATGTCATTTCTCTGACATGTTTAATGGAGTTGCACATCCAAGCTCTTGACCTTTGTTCGGGCTGAAAATGCCACAGGAGATGCATGATGTACGCAGATGAAGCCATGTGGCCCTTCAGTGAAGCGAGGTGGAGAGAGGATGTTGTTTACAATGCGATGTCCATGATCAGTTTGAGAAAAAAAAAAAAAAAAGGTTGTCTTGGTGATGAGTTACAGTGTTCATGTTATTAAGTTATTATGAATGATATGAAATGAATGACCTGTTGTTGCTAACTTCACGGCTTAACTTTGTAATTAATTTTGGAGTTGCTGGCAAGCTCTTGGTTATTTTGCAGCCGATGTTGGCTGCACAGCGTAAATCATATGAGCCACAATGCTGAAGACATCAATGTGACTTAGTAAACTCTCAGTAGAAACGGAGCCGATTCAATAGCTGAACTTAAGTTAAACTTGAAAATGATAGTAAATGACTTTCTCAACTCTCGTATCATTACAGTCCGGCGCCGTACATTTTTTTTTCCCCACAAAATCGCTTTATCACTAATCATTGCCATGTGTGCAGCAGTGGAGGTGACACGGCCGTAGTGTGGAGCACTACAGTGTGACACCTCTGTGCGGGATGATGGCCAGGTTCCTGGACACTCACATCAAGAATAGACAAAGCGGATACAGAGCTTGACTCACACTAACTTGCAAACTGAAAGAGACTAGTGCATACCGCTTTGCTCCCTGGCTGGCTGGGCTCACGGACCGTGCATTTTTCTCCAGTTAAACTGTAACCACTAATCACCTCACGGCCTCACTGTTTCCTCCTGGAGCAGACCATTCCTGGATCCCCAGGGTGGTTTAAAATGGCCCCTCGGGGATATATGGTCTACTCTTTTTAAAGTCACCTGTGTGGGACATCCCAAATGAGCGCAAGACTCTTGCTCTTTCTGTGAGGATCTGCCATTGTGAAGTTTAGGGGTCAGTTCCTCTGCTGCAAGTCTGCAGGCCTGCATTTCCAAAGTAAACACAGACAATTCAGTGCCTCACTCCAGCCAGTACCCCACCCTACCTCTTCTCATTCTCTTTAATGTTCCTTCTGCGCTCCCTGCTCAGTATTTCTATCGTGAGAGAATTTCAGCTCGCAGAGCCCTTCAGACAATACGCAGACCATGTCTGGGGCAGGGCACACTTGATGAGGAAAAGTCAGAGAGAGAATATAGGAGTAAAGCCAAGACATGAAAGAATAACAGCAACGTAAAGGAGCTGGCAGAGAAGGGAGAGGGTGTGGGGGGGTGGAAGGGTGTGAGGGTTTGTTAGAGGAAAGCCTTTTCTTTTTTCTTTTTTTTTCCAAAGTCCATTTTGGATTAGTTTCCACCAACATACTTAATATTTTACTTATAGACGATAGTAAAAGTGGATCTAGCTGGAGCCCTTTCGATATGTGGGAGCTCAGTTCAGGGAGCTGTGAGTTGTACAGTAATATGCTCACAGCAATGCAGTTTAAGTGGAGACACAGCTGGTTTGTATTATTATTTACTTGCTTGGCCAACACCCTGGATTGTCTAGTATAACCTCAATCGCACTACAGCAGTTCAGTATGACTGAGGTATGTATGTGTGTGTTTGTTTGAAGAGAAAAGAAAGGGAGGAGTCAGGAGAAGAGGGGCTCTGCCTGTATGAACGGGTGAGGCATAACGTGCTGGGAAGGGAGAGACAGGGGAGAGGGATTGATGGTGGGTTTTTTTTCTTTAGAGAAGGGGATGAGGGAGAGACGGGTGAGGCATTTCTAAGACTCAAATAAGACTCTCAAGTCTGGGCCTGGGCCTGGCTCTCTGTCTGGGCATATCCAGTCCTGTCAGCTAGCTTCCAGACTTTGCCCCCTTCACCACCCCCCTCCCTCCATCCCCAACTCCCTGGGACTCCATCTCCTCCTTGCTTTAAACTCTGTTTCTGTTCCCTCTCTCCCTTCGTCCCTCCCTCGCATTTTTCGTCTCCCACTTTCCATGAGCCCCCAGCTTCATAAGCGACACATAAATTATATAAGAGATTCTCCATCTTATACATGCAGTAAAAGAGAGAGGGAGAGAGAAAAAATTTGGCCTCTAAGTGTTTACCTTCTCTGTGGTGTTGTGGAGATGTTGCCAGCACTAATTTAATTCATATGTACCGTGGCTGTTTTTTTTCTTATGATGGAGCCTTATGTAATTTGGAAATGTTTTAAGTTTGAGGTTGCTTTTTGAGAAATAAAGACTTATACAGACCTCAGCTGCTTCCATGAAGTACCCTCTCTGTTTTTATTTGGTCGCCAAAA